GGTGGAATGACCATGTGGGGTCCTGCGCCAGATGCCCTGGAGAACCATGGCCAGTGCTCTCTCTTTCAAGAAGGTGGGAGAGTGACCTGGGTTTGTCTGCCCCAGCCTGCTCCCAGAAGTGCGGTTGACTCCATAAATTGGTGGGGCTCTTGCGTTTGGAAAAGAGCTAGGTTTTGCACATAGCTGCAAAGGGGGCCACTGTGAAAATGTACTGGTACACTGTGGTTAAATGCTAATTCTGGCCCTGCTCCTGGCTTCACTTCCTTTTCCCCCACCTCATTGCCTCAGTACCTCCTTCCAGCATACTTTATCCCATTTACTTCTATGGCATTGTTCCAGTGGGGTTGAATTTGTCTAGAAGGCACTTGAGCATTTTCCTAGTGACTTTTTAGGTAATGAACATGACTCTTCTTTGAGTTGAGGGGCATGGGGTAGAAAGAGGGGACATGAAAATATTGCAAATTCTAGAAACTAGGATTTAAGCAGTCTTCACAGAGATAACTGATCCTACCCTGGAGTGATCTGCACCCAAGGAGAAAGGTGTGGTGGGGGGGGGGGCAGGGAAATGGGGGTGGACACTTGGGGCGTTAATAGCTTTGCTGTGCTAGTTGAGTAAACATGAAGATGTCTAATGACACGGACAGTGATGTCCCCTTGGATTACCTCTCTCCTGCATGTCATATGACAAGCCAGAAGAGGCCTCGGGTCCATTCAGACTGAACCTCCTCATGGAACAGAAGCCCAGAGGGGGCAAATACTCAAAGTCACACAGCCCAAGGGCTGCGCTCGTCAGAAACAGGGCCTCCTTCCTCCCCATTGCTGCTAGTTCAATGATTAGAGTTAGATGCAGGATTCATCAGGTCTGCCTCCCTGCCTCCACCATTACCTGTTTGGTTTTCTGCCCCCACCCCCTTAAATTTCTGTCTCTTCTGCAGGGGTGGGCAGGGGATATCCCCTACAGTGGAGTCCGGGTTTATTGAACACCTCATTCAGCTTGCTTGTACTTTCTGAATGCAGGCTGTATTATCCACATCTCCAAACCACTATGGAACTGCACCTTCTTCCCTCACCCTTTGCTGGCTCTTGTGTCCGCAGGGTGGGCTGTTCATTATAAAGTCTTTAGTAGTAAGGCCACAGGAAACTGCGATGTACTTGGCAAAGGCCATTCTTGGTGAATAGCCATGACCTTCAGTTTAGGAGGGATATGTGTGTGTATATAATTTTTTAAATCAAGAAGTTCGCGTAAGTTTCCTAACATTATAACTACTGTTTACCGTGTCACTATGCCTACTGCTTTTCCTAATCTTATAGGATATAAGCAACAAATCTCATAGGTGGCAGTATAGTTGTTTTTTTCCATGCACGCTCTGAAGATGAGCAAGTTTAAGTAACTTGCACAAGGTCACGTAGCTGACAGGATTTGAACCTAGGTCAGTGTAGCTGCACATCTACCACAGTGCCTGGCCACCCATTCATTATCCACCCCTGGCCTTGCCCAAGAAGGCATGTTGCTAGTTTTTGTTTTGAGAATGAATGGGAGAGGAGTTGGAACAAAATGTGCTTACAGATCTACTGACTGACATGTCAGTTATACCACAGTGTTTAGATAACGTTTCTGAAAATTGTCTTCCATAGATTGAGATAAGCACGTCTGCCCTTGTCTTCTTGTTGTTTCTAAAATAATGTAGCTATTCCTTCAGTGTACTTTATCGCATTAAAAACAAAGTTGGCTTTTCTGCTGATAAAAAATATATATATCTTTATTGTAGAAAATAGAGATGTTCACAAAAAGGAAAAGTGATCCCAAGCAATACACCAGCTTTTGGCTAAGACTGTGAGCACTGGAACTATCCTGTAGGGGTTTGAATCCCTGCTGTGCCACCGGCAATATGTGTGACCTTGAGCTAGTCACGGCTTCTTTGCCTATTCCTTCATGTGTCTCTGAAGTTGAAAATTAGACCCTGCATCATTGAGTTGTTTAGATTAAGTGGTACAAAACCCTTAGATGTGACCAAGAGATGTTTGATTAATACATCAGTAATGTTCTAATTTTCCTCTCTGAATATGTATATACATGTGTAAATATATATGTGTGTGTATGTATATTATATTGTATGCATATACTAATAAATGAGATTTTTTTTTTTAAGCCAGCTAGTTTTCATCTAACGATATATCATGACCGCCTTTCCTTACTTCTAAATAGTCTTCTCTAGTACTTGGTAGCTGCCTGGAACCTACTGATGGGTTGGTGTGAATGGAACTGAATCCATTATTGTGGGTCTTGAAGGTTTCCAGATCTGCTCTAACATAGTACACTCTTAAAGAAATCTCAGTAGATGTTGCACCATGAATGGTGTTCCTCTAGGTGACAGGAGCTCCCCACTCTTTGTAGAGCGTACCTAATCTTCCCTCTCCTGGTGTGAATGAGGATCTGAGCATTTCCCTTTGGGAGCTCAGAAGCTTCTGAGTGTGGCACCTGTGAACTTCTATATTCCAGCCCCATCCGGGGAACTCGGGCTCTGCCTCTTTTCCTTCCTCTCCCTTAAATCTATAAAAGCTATGTTTCTTTGTTTAATATTTCTGGTATCTGGTATCTCTTGGTTCCTGAGAAATCACAAATCAGAAAGTACTCTCATTCTGTTTCTCTGTACCTGAGGTATGAAGAAGGTGTGGTGTCCTTTTTAAAAGGAAAAAAGGAGAAACCCTAAGCATCTCTGTTTTCCAGGGTGGACTCCCAATGCCCACCCTTCTGGGTGAGCTGTAGTCATTTCTGTACCATTTCAGGCACCATGCCCTGCCATTTTAGTGTTTATTTTATTTTATTTTATTTTATTAAAACTTTATTTGTCAGAGATGGAAAGAACAAGCAGGGGAGTGGCAGGTGGAGGTAGAGGAAGAAGTAGGCTCCCTGCTGAGCAAGGAGCCGGATGTGGGCCTCAATCCCAGGACCCTGGGATCATGACCTGAACCGTAGGTAGCCACTTAACTGACTGAGCCACTCAGGCGTCCCTGCTGTTTTGGTTTTATGCATTTCTGGCGACATGCTTATTTGATGATTTTATTGAATTCTACTTGCTGGTCTGAGATTGTTTCCCTGGAAGTGGCCCCACCCCTTCTCTGCTTTTAGCCTCTAGCAAACCAATAAGTCACATGTTTTGAAAACCCTGCTCTGTGCTCTCCACCCCTAGCCTTCGGGGTGTGTCATATATGCAGACTCTACGGATGTATTTGTCTGTAGAGTCTGAGCTCCAGAAGACAAAGAGAGTTATGGGTGGAAGTGACTTGGGGTCACTATTATCTCATGTAATATTCCTCTTAAAAAGTTTATGGCTTTGCTGAGATTTTCTCCTGGAGCCTAATCCTGAGTGTTTGGAACCTGTCATTTTAAACTGTATTGAGTCTAAAGAAACTTAGCTACATTCCAGGACACTGTTGACTTAACAGCCTCAGACATGGCCATTTTCTTTTTTTGCTTTTCTTTCTTTCTTTTTTTTTTAAAGATTTTATTTGTTTATTTGACAGAAATCACAAGTAGACAGAGAGGCAGGCAGAAAGAGGAGGGGGGAGCAGGCTCCCCACCAAGCAGGGAGCCTGATGTGGAGCTCGATCCCAGGACACTGAGATCATGACCTGAGCTGAAGGCAGAGGCTTAACCCACTGAGCCACGCAGGCATCCCGACACGGCCATTTTCTGATGATGGTTAAGGGCAAGGCTTGGCTTTTCACTGTAATCTAGGGGGAGTACATCCTCATCTCCGAGAGAGGGTAGAATCTCAGAATATGCTAGTTAGGGCAATGGGTCTGTGAAAATTATGGTGGTGATTGTATGTCTGAGGTGTGCTGGAATGGCATCAGGACTTAAAAAGAGAAATAATTCATATTCCATATTGGACGGAGAAATGGCCTGTGTATTCCACGTTTGTAATGCTCCAAGTATCAGTTCCTCGCAGTGTTTTCTAAAGCCCATTTTAATGTTTTCTTCTGATATCCTCCCTGGGAGAAAGGTTAAGTAGCATTGTCCTCCTTGCACTATTGAAGAGAAGGTGGAGACAAGGACAGGTGAATTTCCTTGCTTTGGATCCTGAAATTAGGCTGGCAAGAGCTTGCAGAGGCAGGAAAAGCTCCCAGCCAAAGAAAGAGCATTTTACTCAGCGGTATTCATGTAATTCCTGTCTGGGGGCTGCTGAGCCAGAGAGTGCTGGACACTTCAAAGTCATAGTTCAAGATCCTTGACCATTAATCTGCTTTGCTGCCTTGAGCTAAGCCCTAAGATTGATGGATGGCAGAAGTCGATTATTTTTGGCTCGGCTGCTCCGTCCTGGCAAGGGGCCTTTACATGTAAACCCGACATCTACAAAGGGTTTTGGAATCTGATGTCATTTTCTTCCTACAATTCACATGTTGGCCTGTGCTGTAGATGGGGTTACCTGTTATGTGAGGGTCACGTTCCTGTTTGGGGCTCCCTGTAAAGATGGCTTCTAACACAGAAGGCCGCTGCCTCCTCTTCCACACCCCAGCAGACTTGCTAGAGCTTCAATCTCTTGACTCACTGGGTGCAGGAAAGCAGCAGGCCCTCGCTGGTTTAATCCCTACTTACTGCTTATAGGTTAGTCTAAGGCTGACGGGGTCCTTCTTTTTGAGTTTTACGTTTTCTCAGCCAAAAAATGGGAACAACCACTGTTAAGGCTAAAAAGCCAGGTTAATGGAGAATCCACTTCAGAGATGGGAGGAGATGAATCTGCATCCAGTCCAGTGGGAGCTGGCACGTGATCTCAGATGGAGTTGTCACTGTTCCCATGCCACCCAGACCAGCATCTTTTGTGCTTGGTTCTCTGCATCTGAAAATGTGACGTGGAGCAGAAATTTGTCATCTGGGTCTTGAACCTCTACACATTTTCTTGGACTGAGCCACTGATTTTCGTGGAAATCAAAGCCAGATATGGTGAGGGGGTGAGGCCAGACTGACCTGACCTATATCTGTGTTTTGTCTGGAACAGGGGTCCCCGGTCACCTCCTTTGTGCTGTTCTTCCTGGATGGAACGAGAAAATAAACAGGGTGTGTGTGAAGCCCAGGACTCAGCAGACAAAGGGATGGGCTCTGATTTTGAGAACTCTGAAGACAGAGAACGGGACCCAGAAGAAAGAGGAATGGGCTCTCACCCACAGGATGCCGACAAGAGAGAAGACCCCCCAGAGCAGGAGCTGGACTCCAACCCACATGATGAAGCTCTGGGAGGGGACCCAGAGGAGAGGGAACTGGTATCTGACATCTGCCCAGGTGAGGAAAAGCTGGCATTTCCGTGGAAGTTGCCCCCACTCACAGTTATTTCTAGCTCCTCTAGAGTTAGAACCCAGCGCAGCATTCTTTGTGGGAGAGCCCTCTAGCAGAGACCATTACACAGAACTGTAAGCCTGAGGAACATCCTTTTCTTCAATCCAGTCTGAGGTGGGCTGTTCTGGTAAACGTGGATGAAGAGGGTAACTCACTGGTGTCGCACTACAGTGTACAGAACACTGCTATAAATTAACACTTGCAATAACATGAGAGGGAGCACAGCTAATATCAGAACCTACCTCATCAGGTTGTTGGGGGAGTTTAGATGAGTTGCTGCATTTGAAGACTTATCACAGCATTGAGCTCATAAAGTGTCCAGGTGTTTGCAGTTATAGTCATCATCATCTTTGTTCGCAGATAAGTAAACTCAGTGGTAAGTGACCTGCCCAGGCTTATGTGGCAACGCCCATAGTGCTCAAGGCCTCTGCCAAATTCCTTGGTATTCCTGACCTGGAAAGAGGAAGCTCTAGCCCTCCGCCTCCATCCACCTCCTTGGTCCTATCTCTGGGCATTTGTTGCTTTATACTGCTCTGTGCATGCCTTGAGGACAGAAATGAACTGAAATACCTTGCGGTCAAGACTAATGAGGTTACATTCCCTCCCCGGTGACACATCCCAGACTTCCTCCTGCTCTCCCCTGCAGTGTACACAACACCTAGTCTTTAATATCTTAGTAACTTTCTGGAGTGCCCTCTGTTCCGTGTTAAGCAGCCAGAGACAGGTGTGTGTTCTGGAAGTCTCTAAGCTGGGATCCCCAGCCCTAGGTCCTGTGCTCATTCTTCCTGCCTGGCTTACATAGTAAAGCCCTTAAGTTGGGGTGTGTTTGGGTTTGTTGTTCCACCCCTAACAAGTTTTATTTTAAAAAAATCAGCCCAAGGGCGCCTGGGTGGCTCAGTGGGTTAAGCCGCTGCTTTCGGCTCAGGTCATGATCTCGGGGTCCTGGGATGGAGTCCTGCATCGGGCTCTCTGCTCAGCGGGGGAGCCTGCTTCCCTCTCTCTCTCTCTCTCTGCCTGCCTCTGTCTACTGTGATCTCTCTCTGTCAAATAAATAAATAAAAATTTGAAAAAAAAAAAAATCAGCCCATTACCTCGTTAGGACGGGTGACCTTTTCTTGTGGTTGGCTGGAGTGGCCTTATCTTTTGAGGCCAGGGTCCTGAAAGGCATTAGGAGCTGTGAGAGTAAGCTAACGTCTCCTGAGATCCCACAGAGTCCCACCCAGCCCATTTCAAGCAGACTGTCAAGCCTTCAGATGACTCTGCTGAGTGGAGCCTCGGGTACCCTGGGTGGGGTCTGGGCCCCAGAGACAGTTGGTGTAAGAACTGGCCAGCCAAGGGGCGGTTGAGTGATCTTTGCCTGGGTTTCAGAGCTCACTCTCCTGCAGGCCTTCCTCAGGAGGTACCAGGTGGGAAGAAGGCTGGAATCGCGGGGGTCTTGGGGGAGGGGTTGAGAATACTCCCGGGAGGGTGGCCTGCACTTTTACTGAGACTGGTGTCCTCCGGGTTTGCCTCTCGAGCGCCAAGTATAGTCACGACTACTGCCACCTTTTCTGTTGCAGAGGAACTGCTGAGTGAGGAAGAAGGGGCTGCTCTCCGCGAAGATGATGATTACCAATCTGGCGTAGCCGAGATGGCCATGTTCCCGGGACTGTCGGAGTCCGACAGCATTTCCCGGAGTCCCCGGGAAGAGGAGGAAGAGGAGAGCGCTGGGGAGAACCGGCTGGACGAAGAGGAGCAGCCGCCCCCTCCCATGCTCCCCTGGAGGCGGCATCTCTCCCTGGGGAGTCGGCACCGGGGCGACAAGCCCGCCCACCACCGCTTCCGTCGGCTCCATCACCCCATGGCCATGGACCTCGGGGAGCTCGACAGCCTGATGGCCAGCATCATGGACGCGCCCACTATCTGCCCGGACTGCGGGGAGAGCTTCAGCCCGGGCGCCGCCTTCCTGCAGCACCAGCGCATCCACCGCTTGGCGGTGGCAGCCGCCGCCGCCAGCCTGGAGCCCTTCGGCTTCTCTGGCGAGTGCGGCGCCATGGTGGGCGTGGCGGGGGGCTTCGGGGCGGGGCCCGCGCTGGCCCGGCCCCCACGCGAGAAGCCTTTCCGCTGTGGGGAGTGCGGCAAGGGCTTCAGCCGCAACACCTACCTGACCAACCACTTGCGCTTGCACACGGGCGAGCGGCCCAACCTGTGCGCTGACTGCGGCAAGAGCTTCAGCTGGCGCGCGGACCTGCTTAAGCACCGGCGCCTGCACACGGGCGAAAAGCCCTACCCGTGCCCCGAGTGCGGCGAGGCCTTCAGCCTCAGCTCGCACCTGCTGAGCCACCGGAGGGCGCACGCGGCGGCCAGCGGCGCGGGGGTGGCGGCGCTGCGGCCCTTCGCCTGCGGCGAGTGCGGCAAGGGTTTTGTGCGCCGCTCGCACCTGGCCAACCACCAGCGCATCCACACGGGCGAGAAGCCGCATGGCTGCGGCGAGTGTGGCAAGCGCTTCAGCTGGCGCTCGGACCTAGTGAAGCACCAGCGCGTGCACACGGGCGAGAAGCCCTACATGTGCTCCGAGTGCGGCGAGACCTTCAGCGTCAGCTCGCACCTCTTCACGCACAAGCGCACGCACTCGGGCGAGCGGCCCTACGTGTGTCGCGAGTGCGGCAAGGGCTTTGGGCGCAACTCGCACCTGGTGAACCACCTGCGCGTGCACACGGGCGAGAAGCCCTTCTGCTGCGGCCAGTGCGAGAAGCGCTTCAGCGACTTCTCCACGCTCACGCAGCACCAGCGCACGCACACGGGCGAGAAGCCCTACACGTGCATCGAGTGCGGCAAGAGCTTCATCCAGAGCTCGCACCTGATCCGCCACCGCCGCATCCACACCGGCAACAAGCCGCACAAGTGTGCGGGCTGTGGCAAGGGCTTCCGCTACAAAACACACCTGGCGCAGCACCAGAAGCTGCACCTGTGCTAGGGGCCGGGCCGTGGGGAGGCTGCCCTGGTGGGGAGCATGTGGGGAGGAGCTGTTCTGGGGATAGAGCTTGTGGAGAGAAATGGGGAAGGGGCGGGAGGGACAATCTGAGTGACCGGGGAGTCTTGGTGTTAGGGGGTCTTGAAGGGGAGGGTCGAGTAAGTGTGGTTCTTTTGGGGTGTTCTATTTTGCCTGCCTCCCCAAAGGGACGTGTTTGGGAGATGTGCTTGAGCCATGACATCTTCAGATACACGCAGTAGGGGTTGAAGAGCAAGGAAGTGCAGGCACTTTGAGGACCTTGAAGAAGGGGAGTTAGGGGGTTAGGTGAGTGAACAGGATGGCAGGCAATAGAGTAGGTCGGGCTGTGGGGGCCTGTGGGCGTCAGGAGAGGCTTATGGGGTAAAATAAAAGGCGGGTATGAATCATTCTGTCCTGGTCTCACCAGGTGTTACGTTAACACTGTTTGCTCTGTCGCCCCACATCAGCTGTAGTCTCATGAAAAGTAGAGGAACCTTGTCGATGCTATTGAAGAAGATATGTAGTATATTTTCCCCTTCATTTCTCTGAGCCACAGTTAGCTGCTATTTTGAGGCATCCAGGGGAAACTGGGCAGGAAAGCTTACGCACTCGGATTCCAAGGGCAAAATTGAAGTTTGGAAATCCGTTCATAACTGGCTTTAAGATCACCTGGGAAATCTTGGTTCTGCTCCCCTGGTTCTTTGCTACTTCCTTTAAAGTGGTCTAGCTTCATGCTGGGTCAGGGTGGTCTGTGTGGATGGGAGGTGTTAGGTGTGTGCCAAGCCCGGTATTTCATGTCTCAGTTGTGATCTTCTAAGTGCAGGGGAATGAAACAGTCCCAGCTATGTGTGGCTTTCCCTTTTCCAGGTCAGCATGTTGCTTGTTTGAAGTGAATCTCAGATCAGCAACCATTGCCCCAGTGACCTACTACAAAAGTCATCTAGCTCAGAGTTTTGCTGGCCTTATGTGAGAAATCCAGGAGAGCAAATGTTCACATGTTGGAGTGCAAAGCTTCTTTGTCTCATTTGCCTTTGCTCTGTATCCAGTGCCCCCCTCCCTCTTGGTAGTAATGGGGGAGATAATCGAACAGCCACCTCCATCCATATTGATAGAGACTTTTGGTCTGAATAGAGATATCTTTTATGTACACAGGAGGCACAGTAGAAAGCTCAAGGGTTTACACAAGGAAGGCCCAAGCAGGGAAAGGTGTTAAGTGCAAAATTGCCAAATAGCACAAGCAATGAATGTTTTCTGGTTGTTATATAAATGCCAAAATAGCACTTTTATATTTCAAAGTGCTTTATGCTTTTTAACGATCGTTAATTGTTTCTCACACCTTTGTGAGGTAGATCAGTATTATGACCCCTGTCGTAGGGAAGACTGAGGACAGGAGTACAGCAGGCTATTTGGAAGACAGGCTGATGACCGTGGGGATAGGTACGGTCAAACCTTTTGTGTTCTCCTGTCAGCTGCTAGAAAGACTTAACCTGTCATGATTTATATAATAAAATGAAGACACTGAAAATTCTTAATGCTTCATGGAAAATTTAAGGCTAGTCTAGAAGGGCCAAAGATGTCCTTATTGACAAAGCTGGTCTTTGTCACATAATTAGGGTATCTTAGGATTATTCCATTTCTAGTAGGGGGTTGTAGTTAGATGACTCTTGTACAGATTTCGGTTACCTGTACTGAAAATTCCTCCCCCAGGTTAGCCTTTAGAAATTAGAGTTGTGGAAACCAGTCTTGTTTTCTTCACTAGTGATTGTTAGTTGTTCTGTACTTTTCATGGAAGCATCTTCACAAACTGTTGGACACACTTGAAAGCAAAGAAGAAAAACTGCAAGATTGTTTTTACGGTTTTAGCAAACTTTCTGTGGATGCTGGTAATTTATACTTGATCAATTGTATTTTAACAAAGATCCTCCTTGGGGACTGTAGGGAAGCATGTTTTTGTCCTTATAAAAACACCTTCCAAAAAAAAAAAAATCCTGAGAATTCTGGGCTTGTACAATGCCTGTTGATCTTGCCCTCTTAATCAGTTTATTGTTATTTACAAATGCAAATCAATTTTCAAAAGATAGATAATTTTGCAAGACACTAATTCTTTATTTTCTTTTAGTTGAGTAATCTGAGCAAAATCAATGTCCATTATTTATTGACTCTTTACCCTGAATACTAAGTGTATAGGACTCCTTTGAAAATAATATAGCCAATTTGTAGGTAACCTTATTCCTTTGTGTGTTTTTTTATGCACATCTACCTCTTCCAGCCATTTTATGTTCTCTCAAGTCTGTGCCTATGAAATCTCATGCAACTTCTGATTATCCACTTTATGGGTTATTTGGCCTTTGACTGCCATTGTACTCTGTACGGTCTTGTCTGCATCAGCTATGCTATATATGGGCAGCTTTCAAGAAGGTTCAAGAGGGAAGGGAGATTGAAGCTCATATGAAATAATTTGGTGGCAGTGGAAATGTTTGGGTTTCATTGACCTCTCTTCTTTCAAGTACCATAGGTAAGAGAGTCAGCTACCACTTCAGTATCCCTTTGAGGAGCAGATCCCTCAGCAGAAGAAAACAGCCCAACCACCAAAATCCCCACTCTTGTGGTGCATTTAAAATGTGATTCCATTTTTCCTAAACTTCTTCAGGGAACATAGCTGCATTAAGTGAATTTAAATGCAGTCAGGATGCTGGTTCTTGTATCTAGTTCAAGAATAATAGTTTTTCTTCAGCAAACCCCACTAACTGTGATACACCCTTAAAAATGCTAATTTGAAGACTCCTTCCGTCAACTCATTCATGCTGGTGGAGGCAAGTGTATCATTTGTTTCCCGGGGAGTTTGGTCAAGTGCAGGCTGCTCTTGGCTTAGCAAAAGCTGGAGCAGTTTCAGTAGGTTAAATGGCTTGATTAGATCTTGAGCTCTGAGTTGGAAAGAGAAGATGAGAAGTTAACCCCTTGAGCCATGTGGTTTCTTCAGGATCAGGAGGCTGTACATATGTGAGAAAGTACAGATGAAGAACCTGTGTTCATAGACAATCTGGACTGTGTTTCTGAAGTTTGTGCACATTTCCCTTCAGTATAATGTTATTTTACAGCTGTTTGTTAAAATAGTGAATAATTTAATGATCCTAAAAGTAACAGGTTTTGTGTGAGTGTGTGCTTGTATATGTGAGAATTGCCTTATTTTCAGGTTGTTTTATTTAATGATGGTTCCTCGGACAGCGTTCTGGTGTTCAGCAACCCATATGGAACATTTGTCATTAAATCCATATCAGTCTTTTTCCATGTCATTCTTTCTTCTTTGTCATCCATTAAATGGCACTGAGATCCGTATACAGAAGCTTACTGTCTGGTAGAACAGGGGTCAGCAAACTACTGAGTCTAGCCTACCTCCCTTTGCAAGTAAAATGTTCTGGACTGTGGTCCTCTCCATACAACCTTGCTTACATGTTGTCTGTGGTTGGTTTTGCTCTACCACAGCAAGGCTGAGTCTTTGTGACAGAGGCTACATGGCCCACAGTCCTAAAATGTTTACTCTCTGGATATTTACAAACAAAGGTTGCTGACTCCTGTGTTCGAGTGTTCTGGTGGATCCTAGATCATCCTGGAACTGGCTGATGTCTACATACTCTGCCTATTTTAACCAGTAATTCAGCAGGGCACTTCCGTGTTCTTGTAGCTTTGGGATGTTGGGAAATGTGTGAATGCTATGCCACTGGTATCGATTTCTTCCTTCCTTGGAGGAACCTTTCTGTGGGGCATTTTGACAGGAAGTGGGGAAAGCTGATATGGGGAAGGGAGGCAGTCTTAGGTCTCACCCCTAATCTATTAAAAAAAAAAATGTATTCCTGAATCACATCACAAAGTATTTTCTTTACCTCAGCTCTCAGAAAGGTAACTTAATGGCTGTTGGTAATACTGGATGGAACTTACCAGCTAGACTGGCCTTTTACTTAAGATGTTTTTTAGCTGCTCTGTGCCCAACCTCAGGGAAACAACGAGACAGGCAGTTTGTAAGGAAGGGATTCACAAGAAATAGAAAAAAACTTAGTGTGAAAGGCACTTTATGTTCTTGTGATGATCACAACCACCTCCTTGTGCGAGTGTCCACCCACCCTGTCTTGCCTGGCAGGGCTGGTGGATTTTGGGTCCCAGTCATGGAAAGAGGCACTCAGTCCAGGATTTATCAACATTCCTCCCTAAGCTCAACTATTCAGGTCTGAAGCAACCACCAGTCTATCTCCTGGTCCCTAGGAAAACTACTGAATCAGGTAATTGAAGTATTTGTTCAGTGCTCTGTGGGGACATGGCAGTGAACCTGGGCTTCTGGGCTATGCCATGAGGGGATGCTGGTCCTGAACATGCTGTTGGAGCAGGGCTCTGTCTGCCTTCCAGGTAGAGAGGATGTATCTGGTCAACTTGGAATTTTGGGGGCTGAATTAGTTTGAGATCAAGATTTCGTTAATCTAACTTAACTATATATATAGTAGAATTACCTGGAGAGCTTTTTTTTTTTTTCTAAAGATTTTATTTATTTATTGAGAGTGAGAAAGAGCATGAGAGCTGAGAAGGTCAGAGGGAGAAGTGGACTCCCCATGGAGCTGGGAGCCTGATGCGGGACTCGATCCTGGGACTCTGAGGTCGTGACCTGAGCCGAAGGCAGTTGCCCAACCAACTGAGCCACTCAGGTGCCCCTCTGGAGAGCTTTAAAAACAAACAAGCCCCCCCCCCAAAAAAAAACCCGGGGCACCTGGGTGTCTCAGTCAGTTAAGCATCCAACCCCCCCCCTTTTTTAAAAGATTTTATTTATCCACTTGACAGATCACAAGTAGGCAGAGAGAGGGGGAAACAGACTCCCCGCCGGGCAGAGAGCCCGATGTGGGCCCAATCCCAGGACCCTGTGATCATGACCTGAGCTGAAGGCAGAGGCTCAACCCACTGAGCCACCCAGGCTCCCCAAGCATCCAACTCTTGATTTCAGCACAGGTCATGGTCTCAGGGTGGTGAGATTAGGCCCCACATCAGTTCCATGGTGGGAGTGAAGCCTGCTTGAGATTCTCTCTCTCCCCCTCTTCCCCTTTCTGCCCCTAAACACCACCCCACCACCACCACCACCACCAACAAAATCTGACAACAACCAAAAAATTGTACCAAATGGTGGTTGGTTGGTTTGGGGTGAAGTCCAAGTACCGGTAATTTTACATAGACATCCTAGGCAACTTTTATGTGCAACCCGGAATGAGAATTCTATAGGACCAATCAGGCGCCTTCGTGCTCTCTTGGGGATTACAGTAAGTAAAACTAATAAGCCTCACATCCTCTCCCCTGCTAAGAGTATAGAGGCAAAGGGCGTGGGCAGACAGCAAAGCCTGACAATGCCAGGGTCACTGCTGCAGCAAGGCAGGCTTTGCTGCCTGCCCACGCCTGCTAGGCCTACTTTTCACGTACACCTTCCCCAGGTAGATAATAAGTAAGGGCCAGGAGAAGTGCCTGTTTTCGCCATTCATCAGATAGTGCCAGATGGGCGTCATGGGCTGCTGCTGGCCTGCCTTTGTCTTTGCCAATCAGACTTCCTGCCTTCCCTTCTTTCTGATCTTCATTCCAACTCAGCTCACTTAACAAAGCGAAATTCCATGCATTTCTCCCTTTCGGAGCTGCCCTTGGCAATAGAATTGTTTTCTGAATTTTGCTCCTGGAGGGAAAGGGGAGGAGCTCACGCTTCAGGTCTCCAGCTTGAACACACTAGCCCTGGGTTCCACTCTTTCCTGGCCAGAGCCTCAAATGTCTGCAGATTACAGTTCCCTGCTGCCCGCCTGTGTTTCCAAGGTCACCCCGGCTCACCCAAACCCCATTCCCATGGTTTTCAGTCTCTAGCCGCTCCAGTGGGATCCAGGTGACTGTTCCCAGACTCATCTGCATCCCGTTGGTGACCTGCTTCATCACCGCAACCAAAGAGTTGGATGGCAAGGTGTTTCATGTACCTAGCTGGCTTCCACACGTCTATATTTCCAGGGGTTTCATGCTAAGTGGAAGGACTGAACGGTCCCAGGCCCCACAGCTGCTGGAAACTAGGGACTCCCTGGAAGTGGTTTGATGTCATTTATTCACAGAAGAGTCTCCCCAGAGATGCCTCCCCTGACCCACGAGGACTGGAAGGGTTCTTCTGCCGAGATGTTCCCAGAACGTCCCAGACACATCTCCTGTGTATGAGCAGGTGCCCTGAGGTGCTGGCTCATTAAAAGCAGATACCCAGAGAAGGTCACATGGAGTGCCCCAGCTTGCTGCTGGGGGTTAGTTAGAGAGAGAGAGATGTTCACATATTCAAACGCTCCAGAACAGGACAGGGGAAGGCTGGTTTTGCTCTCTGCCTAACATCAAACCCAGGTTCCTGGTGGTAAACCATTTTGCAAACTGCAAGTGTGACTTTTTGGATTTGGCCCCTGGTGGGAGAAGGAAGAACTCCATAATACCAAGGTGGCAGGTGTTAATGCCTGGGTGAGATGGGGCCTCCAGCAAAGGCTCGGGGTAAAGCAGACTCTGGAGGACGTGTGCCAGGGTCACTGCTGCAGCAAATCAGGCAGTGTCCGTTTTATCTGGCTTTGGAGGGTAGGGGAAAGAGGCAGTGTGATCTTGGAGGAGTTAATGAAGCAAGGGGCTGCTTAGGGACCCGGCTAGACACTTCGTCAGGTCTAGTGTTTGAAGGTGACTGAATAAAGCCAGGACTTCGATGCACAAGGACCACCTCAAGGTTTCCACTGAAGCAGCTCTACTGCTCTCTGGGTTAACATCGATGGACACAGTAGAGGTCATGGACATGACTTCACAGCCAGACAGCTGCTGGACCGAGGGAGCCACTGCCTAGTGCTGCCTCAGCCTAGGCTGGGCACCTCAGGGGGGCTCAGTCTTGGCCTTGTCGGTCCAATGGAAAGATGTCGGTGTGACGTGTGGGGAGAAGATCGAACAGAATCACAAA